AATGTCTCTGGAAGTGCTCCAGATCCCCCTGCTGGATATCACTTGCTGAAGGACAGTACAGATAGTTGTCTTCAGAATCTTTTCTAGAAGCAGATTTTCGCAGTTTCTCATTACCACTGTCAATCTCGCCATTTGATTTAAAACATGAGCATCGTTGCATAGAAATTCTGTGCAAATCTGCAAGTTCATATGTTTCAACTATTCTTTCCACTTTATTCTTCAACACAGAAACCCAGCTTTTGGGAAGCATACACTTCAGCTCTAAACGATCATGTCCACAACCATCCATTTCCTTGGGTGGGCAAGGTATGTTACCGGTTTCTTTTGGTTTCCACTCATAAATTGGCCTCGTTTTATTCTCTGATCTAGAGTCAATGGAAGAACTCAAAGAACATTTCTGCTCCGAAGGAAAAGGGAGAGGTTTCCCTCCATGCAAGTAAGATCTTCCTCTGTCAATATATTGCACACCAATTTCATCGCCACCTCCTCGCAAGCAGCCGTACCGAATTTCCTGGCAACAAGTCAGGCAGAGATCATAGGAACAATTTGGACAGCTTCTATGAAAATCAACTATAGAGGTTCTGCAATTGTTGCTGCCATAGAACATGTGGTATCATCAAATCTTTATCACAACTCAGATTTTAAAACAAAAGAAATTATAATTCATTTGAGAAAAGCACCATACCAGTACACACGTTCATCGTTATAACAAACTGCCTGCAGCACCTCTACCTCTGATGGTGGTAATCCTGTAAACATTCCATTATGTATAGGCAAATTATTAAGAAAATGAAAAACTGTTTTAGTCGCCTAAACCACAGCATGTATTAAGTAAAATGATTCTTAAGCCGAATTCCCAAATCTATTTGTATCGCTGAATGGTTTATATGGCTTTGATGTAGTGGATAGGACCCACACTTGAGCTTATCCACTATATCAAATGGATAAAACCCCATGGCTTAAAGTCATCAGCTAGACAAATAGGTCTAAATAGCATTACTCTTTGTGTAAACATGTAAAAATTGAACTTCAATGACCTTCTCCAGCCTTGATTCATCACATATCATCCTTGGTAACTAACATCCTTTATATTTTTGCATTGCATTATGCTTTATCTCTGACTTAATATTCATTTCTTATCCTGAATGCAAGTAACTAACTAGCAACAATATGCAGTTTGTACCTTGAACCTTAGCCTCAATGTCTTTTTCATTCATTTGGTCACTATCGAATTGCTTCAGGAATGGATAGAGTGCTTGTACCAGAAACTTCAAGTGCCGAATGTTTTCATCCTTACTTTCTGGCAATCCGGAATATTTGTTATCCTGTGTTAAATTATGAGAAATACACCAGATGTCACAAGTTATACCATAATGTAGTTAATGCAGAGGTGAAAAGACTAAATATCATAGCTGCCATTACAAACCTTGATTATATTAGTTCTACGTAAACAAGCTTTGCAGTTGCAGTTCCCACGACAATGTGGGCAAGTCTCTGCAATTGCTTCCTCTGACAGTCTGGGGTACCTAAATTTTACAATCAAAAGAGGTAGAAAAATGTGCTAATGCATCAATTAATGAGCACCTAGTGTTTGGTAGACATTTATTGTGGAAATTAGGGTTTACATGGATTCAAAAAAATATATCAGAAATGTACGAAGTTAAACACAATTGACAAAAAAATCATTGATGCCCACATCCCGAAAATCCTTAAGCAATAAATGAATAAAGTCTTAAGGAATAATTCCAAGCCAAGAGTGCCTATGACAGATATCGATATCAGCAAACCCTGATTCAATATATGAAAAGACGTTTCCTGGAAAATAAACAGACATCGACCATACCTAAAATATTTGTCTATTATGAGTTACAGCAACACAAAAATATGTAGTTTGACTAGAGACTAATTAGCAGTACCTCATGGTGCGTATTTGCCACTAGGAAAACTATATCACTTAATATGAAATGATAAAAAAACATATGATAGTCAAATTACTGGGAGGAATAACAATCAATGCATCAACCGATCAATCCTCATTGTGTTACAGGATAAAACCAAGATTAACAACGATGCAGTTACTGGGAAGAAGAGAGAGAGAGATTTAACAATGACAGAACCATGAAAGCCAATCTATGGAAACTATATAAATTCTCCAGTCCACGGAAACTTCAAACATAAATATACATACATATGAAAAGAAAATAGCAATCAATCAATGTTCTAATATGCTACTACAATTCTTCGCAACAGTCCTAGTAATCATTTAACAACAATGTATCATTTAGGAACCTCAATTATATCATAAAGGGTTTACAGTAATCTTTTATAACTAAAGAGTTGACTGGATGAATCTTAAAGTCATTTATCATAAGAATAATTTGTTATAGAAAAAAAAATCCTACTTTTATAGAAAAATAATAAATAAAAATGATTATTAAGGGAAATTTTCAGTACTCAAGAATTGTAACATTTCATTTGACATGCATAATTTAGATTTTTTTTTTTCTTTCAGATGTGACATAAACATTAAAAAAGTTACCATCTCTGAATGCAAGGAATACAAAAGCGCTTGCGACAGCCTCTACGACGGCACCGCACCACCTTCCGATCGCTCCTCTGGCATTGATGGCACGTCTGACAGTCATCTCCATTCGCCTGTAAAATAATTTTAAAAGAGTGTCTGCTTTGGTTAAAAAGATGAAAGTTTCAGGGAACAAAAAAATAGAAACTTAGAAAGAAAATAAGCTTACATGATCAATGCGCTGGCTTATTTGCTTCAAACGACAACTTCTTATATCTAAATTACAATCCTTATCATTTGACTCTTCTTTGATTTTGTTAGGTTGTTTCCTCCTCTCTTGTGATTTTGATTCAATCTTGACATTTTTTACCTTCTTTTTGGCTTTTTCAAATGTATCAACACCCTCATCATTATCCTCTAAATCATCTTCACCATCGTTCTCTTCCTTATCTTCGTTCTTGTGTTTGGTTTTAGCCTTCACTCCCAATTTCTTCTTCTCTTCAAGCCCCGCAACCTTCTTTTTCCTAATTAGTGATAATAACCCAATTTTGTCACTCTTTTTGGCTCTTCTTTTTACCAAATTGTTCTCCTCTTTCTCTGAATCATCTTCTTCTTTTTGTTCAATTTTGATCTTCATTCTCGAGTTCTTCTTGTTTTTTACTACTTTTCCCAAACAAAAATCCTCTTTCTCTGAATCATCTTCTTCACAATTGTCGCTGTTCCCACCATGATCATCGTTATCATTATCATCTTCTTCTTTTTGCTCGATTTTGATCTTCATTCTCGATTTCTTCTTGTTTTTGACTAATTTTCCCGAAGAAACATACTCATTCTCCTCAGAATTGATTTTTGGTTTGTTTATCTTCTCTTCCTCGTCCACAAATTCCTGACTACGCTTCTTCTTCGTTGGAATCACCTCATCGTCAGACGCTTCTTTTCTTCTCTTTCTCTGCTTCGTGCTGTTTGATGACAAGAAAAGCCCTTGTTGTTTGGGTTTGTTTCCTGAACCGCTGACGCCGTCTGTGCGGTGGTTCTTCGTGGTTGTGGTTTTGGAAACCCTAGAGACAGAAGCAGAGGACTTGCGTTTCTTCGACTTTAGAAGATATTGCAAATAGTGATTTTGGCAATAGCTCTTCTCGTGGATCCTCCAACCTTTGCACCGCCACGACTTGCCATCACTCCGATTGCAACGCAGATTGTCCGGCGGCACTGCTATTGACTCCTCCAGCGACGACGATGACTCTGCCATTGCTCTCTCTCACCGCCAAAACCACCTCTTCTCTTTAAATTTCTGTGTGTTTTAGAGGGAAAAGGAGGAAGAAAATATTACCCTTATCAGTAATATGGGGATTTTTTTTTTTTTTTTTTTTTTTTTTTTTTTTGAATCCTTGCATACATCATAAAAATATCAGCACTTTCAAATTTTAAATTATTATTCAAATATTATATAAGATTAGATTTGAATGAGCCAATAATTTAATTTTTTTATATATTGTAGTTATTGTGACGGATTAAACATTAATTACTGATTAATTAATTTTTCTTATATATTATAGGTATCGTGACGGATTAAATATCAATTACTAATTAATTAAATTGATTGAAAATCAATCACAGTTACCGTATTAATTAGCGGTGGAGTGATGATATTCGTCTGAGAGTTTGTAAATTTTAGAGTGTTTAGACTTCAATATTTCTACTACTTCTTGTCTAAGAGTTTTTATTTTGTTAAGTCTTTCTTTTAGAGAGTATTACTATTTTATTAAATTTTCTGTGAAGAGTTTTTGTTGTAGCCTCTAATAGGTTTTAAATAGTCAACTTTTACTGTATCACATAAAATCAGTAAAGTATAAATTTTGTACTTATATATATCACATAAAATCACCAAATATATATATATATATTCCAATATATCATTGTTATTGTGATGAGTAGAAATATTGATTGAAAATCAATCACGAGATGGACAATCATATTGATTGATTTAATCAAATATGTCATGAAAGGTAAGTAAGTTTTCCTTTTTAACTTTGCAACGTCGTTTTGTTGGTATTTTTTATTTCATCCAAAAAAAGATAATTCTTTAAAGTTGATCTTATCATCACACAATTGTAAAAAATAAAAAATAATAATAATAAAGGTAATGAACTTGGCCCATGGCCCATTACAAGTCACAAGTCTCACAACACAATTCTAAACCACCAACCAGGTGGCACCGATGATAAAAAATAAAAATAAAAAAATTCTAAAAATTAAATACGACATTTCTTCCGTACATAATAGTTCAACTTATTCAAATAGTAACTAAATCGTTGGAGTGCACTTTCGTCACTTCTCTTATTTACATTCACAATATTTGACATTTATTGAAAAAAAAATTACAACATGAAATTTTTTTTTTTTTCTCCTGATATATTATCTAACTCGTAATATATTCAGTTTTGCTCTTTTTGCCCGATAAAGCAGAACTTATGTGTCTTTGTCCCTACGTGCACGAGAGAGATGGCACTGGAGTGGTCATCAATATTATGTTATACGTAAAGTCGGGTCATTTTTTTATTGTCAACGTTACGGTTTGAACAGGGCACTTGGCCCTTCCCACCATAACATGACAGTGAATAGCTCAGTTCACAAGGAAAAATTCCATCGGGTCCAAACCAATCATGCAAATCTGATAGGTGCATATGGTTCGTCATTCTCTCTCTCTCTCTCTCTCTCTCTCTCTCTCTCGCGAGAGTTCTCAGTTTGGCTGAATTCACTGTCTGATCAGAGTCTGTTTTTCTATCTTTCTAGTTTCTGATTTTGCTGTTCTTTGTTAGTGTTGTGGTTTGGATTTGGCGTGATGCTTGTTCCAGGCTTCTCCCTTCTCTCTTTTTGTAGTCTTGGTGGTATATTATCCTTGTGATGATTTTGCCTCTGGTATTTGCTTTTGTTTGGTGGTTGGTTTTGCCTCTGTTGTTTGTTGGCGGTTGGTCGGAGCTCGTCGTCATCTCCGATGGTTGGGTGTTCTTGGTTGGTGTGGCTTTGGATTTGGCGTGTATTGTGTGGTGGGCTGATTTCTGGTGGGCCCAGTTTGGTCAATTCACTGTGGGGCTTGTTCATGTGGGCTTCGGTCAGACTCTGCAGGTGCGTTTAATGCTTTTTTTTTTTTTTTTTTTTTTTTTTTTTTTTTTTTGTTTATGTGTGCTTGGCAAGTTTTGTTGCCACGTGGGTGGATTATTGCGCTTGCCGTCATCGTATATCAACCTGTTTCTTCATCTGATAATTCACATGGCTCTCTGTCAGCTTCTTTCCACTTTTGTGAGTTATTTTTGCTCACGTTTATTTGTAGTCGTGTTTCCTACTGTACTTCTTTTTATTTGTGGTTGGGTTCTTTTCCTTGGAGTCCATGGGTTGACTAGTTTCTATACGTTTCTCGTATGTTCCTCTTCTGGGTTATATTCTCTGAGTCTGCTGTGTTTCTTTTTGGGTTTCCTGTTTTTTACTTTCCGAAGGCACCGGCGACAGCTTTAGGTCTCCTTGTGTTGTCTTGTTTTTTCTCTGTTTGTTTTGGGTTGATGGCGTCTTCATTGATTGCTCAATTGAATGGGTTAACACTTACGTCTGCGAAGAAGCAACCTATTCATTTATCGGCTGAGGATACCGCTCAAGGGGTGAATATGTGCTATAATAGTTTGTTTGGCAAAGTTTGGGCTTCGAAGACTATTACGCTAACTGGTGCTAAGTATACATTTGGCTGGCTGCTTCATAAGCTGTGGCCAAAGGAAAGACGGTCTGAAGCTATGTCCTCGCGGCTCATTGTCTAGAAGATTGCCGGGAACTTGTTTCAATTGGTTATTCCGGATAGTTCGGTTTGTCTCCGGATCTTTTCTGGTGTCCATGGTTGTTTGATGGGCATCTGTTGGTTCTCAAAAAGTGGGAGGATGGTCTTCTCCTTTCTGAGTCGACATTTTGGGTTTCCTCATTTTGGCTACAACTGTGTGATGTTCCAGCTAATTACCTCTCTGAAAGGGTTGGGCGACGCATTGCTGACTCTTTGGGACGCTGTTTTAAGGTGGAATTGTGTGACAAAGGTGTGATAGAGAACAAGGAAACATTGCTGGTTGATAGTCGGGTGCTCCGTCTCAAAGTGGAGTTGGATATATCTCAATCGCTTCGCCGGAATGTGCGGTTGTTAGGTCCTTCGGATACGGAGTTTTGGATTCAAGTGCGCTATGAAAAGCTCCCGTCCTTATGTTATGCTTGTGGTATTATTGGGCATAACTGGTAGGTTTGTTCAGTTGGTGCTTCTCAGCCTTCTGTGGAGTTGTTGGAGTATGGTCCTTGGTTAGGAGTGGAGGGTTACTTTGGGAAGGATATTTGGAATCCCGGTGGTGATCGAAATGACTCTTTAGCTATGAGTTCCGGAAAGAATTGGCTCTATGTTGAAGGTGATGATTCCGACGAGGTTTACGCGACCTTACTTTGATTGAGCCTCGTCGTCCAGCTCCTTCTCCTACTCTTCCTTTTGTGGAAAGGGAGTTGTCAACTGTTGGTGTGGCAACTTTGGGACCGGTTGGTGTTGCTCATGGTGCATATTCTAAGCCTTCACTTGCGGGGTCTCATTTGGGTGTTAATGAGGTTGTGGGTGCTGGTCCTTCTGGTGACGGTGTTCCGGTAGGGGCAGGCGTCTCTGGTTCGGCTAATAATAAAGTTCATGGCTCCCCCTCTCAAAGTTTTGTTGTTTCGGCCCATATTGAGGAGCCAGTTTAGTATGTGCCCTCCGTTTCTTAGGGCCAAGGGCGAGTGTTGCCTTTGTCTCGATAGGACCAACTCTCTAGAGGTGGTAGGAAAGGTAAAGGTCTGGCAATACCTCATAAAGGTCGTTCTTCTTATTCGTCAGCATCATCTCAAAGCCAAGGCTCTTTTCCTGCGCGGAATAGTCGTAAGCGTCAACCTCATAATCCCGTGTCGGGTCAGGGATCACCTTTGATTGATGGGAAGAAGCCTAAAGTCTCAGTGGCTCCTTTTTCCGGCTTGTTTGGTCACTGATCAGTTTTCTTTTGCTGTTGCAGGTAACATTCCTCTTGGTGCTCAGATTAGCGATTCGGTTAACTCGGAATCATCTCCGTCGTAGTCTTTTGCTACGCTGCTGGCTCTTTTGGTTGGTGATGTTCAACCTAGGGGTGACACGTCTAACTAATCTGTTGCTTGTGCAGTTTTTCTAAGGCTGTGGTTCTTTTGTACCTTTGGTTGTTTGTTCTTTTTGTTGGTTGTTTTGTTGTTCAGTGCTTATAGATGTCGTAGGGCATTCTGTTGCCAGGGAAAAAAAAAATGGTTAGAATATATATATGTGTGTGTGTGTGTGTGGATTGCTAGGTACGTTAATGATTGATCTATCTAATTACGCTATTCTTTGAAATTTGAAATTTACTGTATGAGGTAATCATTATTTATTATTATTTTTTATTTTTAAAATTTTTATATATTTAATATTTTGAATAAATAAGGATAATTTACACAAACCTCCCATATGGTTTGCCATAATTACAGGGGCCTCCCCTTCTGTTTGAGAATTTACTCGGACCTCTCCTACTTTTGAAAATATCCTACACGGACCTCCCTTATGTGTGACGAACAGTCAAATACACTAACGAACCTGCTAAAATTACTAAAATACCCTCTCATTAGTATCTAAAATTACTAAACTACCCATAAATTATTGAGTAAGCATGACATCGGCTTTAAAAGTAAACATTTTACACCAAGATGGATTTAAGCACTTCTTAATCACCTTAGTCCTGAATTTCTGCTTCCCTAACTATAATTTCACATATGGATCACTAAACCCATTTGGATCCATTGCATGTATGTTTCGTGCTTCAATTACATACACCAAAAGTTTCATATTCGAATGCAAACAAAATTAAATATCAAAAACACCACTTTTTGTAAGTTGAAGAAACAAATTTGAAAAAAAAAAACAAAAACAAAATTTTATTATCAAAATTGAGAAACCCACTTTTTGTATTCACTGATTTTACACAAACAACCTTCAACAGAGCAGCTCATGTTGAGACGTATCAAAATTATAAAAATTAAATATGTATATATAAAATTAAATTGACAAAGATTGCTGGAGATATTTGCCCTCGAAAACTAAAATGAAAATATAATACAAATTCAGATGAAAATAAAAATCTCCAAATGGTTCCAATAAAAATCTCTAATCTGATTAAGGGAAAAAAATGGGGAAACTGAAAAGGATTTGTTTGAATTGGAAACCTAGAAATTGGAAACAATAAAGAACAGATCAATAAAAATTGATTGAATGAAAAGCTAAGAAAGATAAAGATTGGGTTTTTGGGAGAAAAAGGAAATAAACCAATCATTCAATTTGGGGAGAGAGAGATAAAGGGGGATAGAGCAAGCGCGTCTCAATAAGAACGGTTGTAATACTCCTAATTTTAAAAGGATAGTCTCGACATTTTAATAGTTTGTTGATTTGATTATTTGTCTAATTGTTTAATTGTTTAATTTAATTAATTGTTTAATTTCATTATATGCTTAGGTGGAATTTCTTTATATGTTTAAATTATTTTATTTTGTTAATTGAGTTATTATATGCTTATTTGGCATTTTTTTTAAATACGTGTTTGTGGTGATTAAATATTTAACATTAATACATACATACTTGAACAAAAGGAACACTTCAATAGGACGACACGGCATACTTTCTTTGCTTTTCGAGGATATAGTAGTGTTTGCCTCGGCCTCAAATTCTTCTTCATCTTCATCTACCTCCTCTTTAGGTGGCACATAATCAAAATCATTGTCAGAGGCCATTCTAGAACTCTCACCAACCTCACAACTAAATTTCAGAATAGGAGAAGGATTAGGGATACTTTTCTTCTTTGCAACAGGTATAATTTTCCTTTTCCCTTTGTTACGAGCTAGAGTCTTCAACCTACCCATTTCAAAACCTAAATTTTATTTCCACCGACAAATTTAATGAACCCAACAAAGCCACATCAATTGAACTCAGACAACCTTAATTTCAGACCAACCACGAAAACCCTCACACCCAAGCCTCAGACGAAGCAGCACAGACCTTCCCTTCTTCTTCGTCTTCCCTTGTTCTTCATTTTAAACCTCCCTTGTTCTTCGTTTCAGACCAACCTCCAAAACCCTAAAGCTTCACACCTTCGTCTTCCCTTATTCCCTTCTTCTTCGTCTTTCCTTGTTCTTCATTTCAGACAAACCTCCAAAACCCTAAAGCCTCAGACCTTCCCTTCTTCTTCTTCTTCTGTTAAAACCTTCTTCTTCCCTTCTTTTGTTAAAAATGATGTAAGGGGTAAATGGACAATTGCAATGTCGTGACCCTGGATTTTTCAACCTAGTGTCCAGTGATGAACCGAAGTTTGACCCGATAACGAATCCAGATGCGGAAGCAAAAGAAACAAAACAATGGTTTCTCAAGGCATAACACACCTTTAAGACCCTAAGATGACCTTCCATAAGGTCACGGAACCCAAAGGAATAACAGGAAATGAAAGCTAGAATGAAAAAGTCATTTGGTACCCTATGGCACCAATAACAACCAAAGGAGCAAGATCTAGTTCAAACTAAATCACGTGTGCCATAGAATGGATCAAACAAGATAAACAAGGTCCTATAAGAACAACAAACGAAGTTAACCTGTCTAGGAAACAAACCAAACAAAACCTACAAGGCAGCTCCATTTCGGTCGACCGAAATGGAGCTTCGGTCTGCCGAAATGAGCCAAGAAAAAGAAGGGGAAATGAGCCTTCAGTTCGGTCGACCGAAATAATAAACCGGTTGACCTATTTGTGGCTCGAGATGAAAAATGGCTACTGGAATTGATAAAACACTGTTTAAATCAAATTGAACAAAGAATCGGTCGACCGAAACAAGCCATCGGTCGACCGAAACAGGTCGAAAAACTAAAAATCAGGCCTGCTATACACTAAGGCTTAAATGAATTCCTATGTTTCATTTGAATCCCCCATGGCATGATCAATTTACATTATATGCTAATGTGTGATGATGTGAACATACGTGCAAGTGTAAAATGACATTTTAAACATGCTATGATGGCCCATGGCCTTATTACAATTTATTTACAACATTTGACGTGTCAAACCTCCAAATTAGAAAAATTACATTTCAAAGGCAAAACTTGAAATTTAAATACACACATTTGAACTTTAAAGTGTGTGGCCCTTGGCCTCATGTCATATATATATCAAATACATTGCAAGGAGTATACTTATGTATACATTACTGTTTAGAGTCAAATATACACATTTTAACAAATATGACTATAAATGGCATTTCAAGCCAACATTTATAAAAATAGAAATCCTCAAGTCCACAAACCATCCAAGCATAATGAGAATCTCAACCTTGATTCCTGTACCTAAAAAATGTCCCCACTACGTGGATGAATAACATAAAGCTACTCGTAGAAGATGAGCATGCATCGACCTAGCATTTTACAATTATATCACCTTAAGGTGAAACATGTCAAAGGGCTCATGCCACCTAACGTCAATGTCAAAATAAGACTCAGGGAGCATCCTAAGCTACTCATGTAATCGTATTGAACAACGGCATACAAGTATACATGCTCAAATACACTAAACCGTAATAAAATATGGTACATGACATACAAACATACATGTTCAAGTATCCTAAATCATGTTGAACAAGATAAACAATATTTAACCTACATAGACAAGTATCCAATATAAATATAGAGTACTCATAAATCAAGTATACAAGCATGAGTATACTAAGCTAAACAATTACGCACAAGACAAGTATACATGGCACAAGTATACTAAAATGAAATCCGAATACACAAAACAAGCATGCTAAGCGTAAGTATACTAAATAGAGTTTAGACACTCCAACAAGGATACAAGCTCAAGTATACTAAATGAGGTCTAAATACACAAAACAAGTATACAGTTTCAAGTATACTAAACAGGGTTCAAATACCCAAGTAAGCATCAATTCTCAAGCTACAAGTAATCCACGATTAACAACTTGAAATTAAATGCGAAATCAAATAGTGGAAAGACTAGAATCCTTGGCTGCAGACCAATTGAGTTATTCAGGGTTACTAACCCGCAAGGTATTACCTAGTGCGCACGCGTATAAGTTATTCCGGGTAATTACGACCTACAAGGTACTACCTACTACGCACTTCATATGACTGAGGAAACTCACAAATCTGTACTAGGGCCAGACCCTAGTCATCACATGAACATGATCCTTACAAGCCTCCAAAAACAATAAGTTCAAAACTTATGCAAAATCAATAAGTTAAACCAAACTTATAAATTTCAAATAATGTCTAGAAATCAATTTACATGCACAAGTAAGGTTGAATCTACACAAACCATGTCCTAGAATTCAAGTCTACATAGCATATGACGTGTCAAGTCTCCGTTATACAATTTATACATAAAGTAAGAATATTTTACAACAATTGAACCACATTACCATCCTAAGCAGACAAGTACTAAATAAGCTACAATTTAGTAACAAACTCTCAAGGTAAGCAATTGTAATATTCTAACAAGCTATATACCTACACAAGATATATTTAAACGAGCTATTCAAGACAATGATATCACCTATCATGCTAAGTCAAATTACCATCTTTAGAGGCCACAAGTACTAATTCTACAACAAGTTAATAGCATGCTCACAAGGTAATTAAACGGACTACATTTCAAGGAATTATCAACCTATTACATCCAATATCAATTTAAGTGACTAACATACTTGAAACAAAATTAATTAAGCTAATTAATTAATTTTTCTCTAGATTTTCAAACATATTCAAATATCCTCAATTAACATATATTAAAGAACTCACCAAGGCCTATTTTTAATATCACATTACAAGTTGATTTCATGCTTATTTCAATTATGTGAATTAAACTTTCATAAAAGATAAATATTAAATAAGTTTTGCAATTCTTATTCAAATGCTCCAAATTTAATATACGTTACTCAATATATCAAGGCCTAATTTCCTAGCTTGTCAATTCTAAGCCACATACATCCATTAGAATTAAATCCTATACAAGAAAATAATTAAATTAAATTCTAAGATTTATACAAGGCATGCATACAAGTTGTATAAGTTCATAAAATAATCAATACAACACATATATAATCCTAATACATCCCCTACCTCAATTTGAAACGAAAATCTCAAAGGCCACCAAAATGGAACTGCTTCGAATCCGATGAAACTCCTAGGTTTTGTCGGGGACAACACGATCTACATGAACCCCCAAGAAGCCCAA